ATAGTGAAATATTTTTTTATTATTAAAGTATATTAATATATAATATATATATATATATATATATTTTAGGTTGTGACCAAATACATCTTAGTTTTCATTTAACATCCATATATGATCATAGTATATTTGAGGCATTTAGTAAAGTTGTTCAAAAATTAATACCACAATTACCAACCCTAGAAAATTTACTTAACATACTTATATCGGTAAGAAAAAGATATGAATTGCATATACTTTGGTTTCTCATAATATAAACTATAATTTGTATTACAGAATTCTGCGATTGAAAAAGCATTTTTATTTGATGTAGTGTCTAAAATTTATATTGCAACCGATAGTTCTCCTGTAGATATGCAAAGTTATGAACTTTGTTGTGACATGATTGATGTTGTCATTGATGTATCGTGCATATATGGGTAGGATACTTAAGAATATCTTTATATTTATAAATACATCTTGATTCTATTTTTACATATTTACATTGTAAAATAATTTGTAATATTTTGCATTATAAAAACCAATTTGTATAAATTGTAGTTTGAGAGAGGATTTAGAGGCTGCAGCGTTCGACAGTCAGAGTTCCAGTCTAATTAAACTGAATAATGGAACCATTTTATATCTGCGTGAAGTTAATAAATTCTTGGCCTTAGTTTGTATCCTACGCGAAGACAATTTCGATAGGCAAGGTAATATATCAATTTAGGAAATTCGACAAATACTAAACAATATATTACAATATGTATTCTGTATTTACATTTCCTTTTCTTCGTTGTAGGTGTAATTGATTACAACTTTCTTTGTTTTCGAAAAGCCATTCAACAAGTCTTTGAATTACGCAATAAGGCTTTAGCATCTACAAATGTTAATAATCATTTGACTCCTCCTGTTAATTCAAATGAAACTTCAAATGCTCCTACAGTATCACAAAGTGGAACCATGGGACAAAATGGCACTGTTGTAATTGCACAGAGTTAATTTCTGTATGTAATATTTTTAATTTTTATTTAAGCCTTGTAATAGAAGGCAAAATATCTTTTTCATATACATTTTTTTCACTTACCTTTTACTTACTGGTAAATAGTATATCATATAATCATGTTATTAATAATTTAATTTCATAAATATTCAATTAGTATGCTGTAATTATTCTATTCTTACTTATAAAATTTTTGTAATGGATATATAATAAATAATATATATACGTTTTTTTTTTTTTTACTATATATTATATTACTATCTAAAATAAGAATTAATATAATTGTTAATTAATTCTTGCCAGAAATTATTGTATTTTCTTTTAGTTCCATATCATGACTCAATACAAAATTTGTTGTTTCCAATAATTATTTATTTAACAGTTTC